ATGAGAACTTTGTATAGTCGTTAGAACATACGCATTAGAGAGCTGGGAAATGAGCTCTATAATAATAATAAAAAACAGATTTCAGTAAAAGCAAAAAATAAAGAGAAAAAGAAAACAGATTTAACTAATCATGGAGTGACACATGTAGAGTTTTGTTGAGAGGCATTTCTTTAAACTCTACTAGGAGAGTCGGATCTGTTTTTCTTGAGTGATACATCATTTCCTTTTAATTATTTTCTTTATTTTTGAGAGCAGAACCTCTTATAGTCTCTTAAATGCGGATGCCCTTAGAACTCATTAGAAGAAGAAAAGGTAGACGTTAATGACAAATTTTTAGGAATCAAACCTTTAATTTGAACGAGGAGAATAAAGTAAAAAGTTAATTGATTTCTTCGCTTTACTTGGATTTAAAGTGGGCCGCATATGGGCCCGGATCTGAAATTTTGAATTGAACCCGACTAAAGCCTGGATCATAACTACTACCATTGACGTGGCTTCCATTTTCTCAACTTTGTCTTCCATCGTTCCAACTTCGCCGACGACGAGTCACATCTCGGAAATCTGAGAGAGAGAGAGAGAGAGAGAGTGTGTGTGAGAAAGAAGGCAAATTTGGGGACCCGAAGATCGAAGCTGCTGCTTCGGAACCCTTGATTTTGCACTGAAATAGGCTAATTTTGTAGTAAAGGAGGTGAGAGGAAGGAATGGTGGGTACTAGCAATTCGTTGGCGGGTCTACAAGATCACTTGAAATTAGCGAGAGAATACGCACTAGAAGGATCCTACGACACTTCTGTCATCTTCTTCGATGGTGCCATTGCTCAGATCAACAAGTAAGTAGCTCCTTTTCTCTTTACTCTTGAATCTAGTTTTTTTTTCTATCATTTCCTTTACAGTTTCGTCTGGCCCTAGCTACCTCGATTTTATTGCATTGTTGGATTAGCTCGCATCATTTCCCTAATGAATTAAGCTATAATTTTGCAATGTCTTTCGTTCTCTGTGGTTATATACCTAGAAACTCGACTAGTCAATGAAGCAGTTTATATCTTTATCGGTGATTCTGAAGTAAACCTTTTTTCAGGCATTTAAACACACTTGATGATCCTATGACGCGGACGAAATGGATGAACGTTAAAAAGGCCGTAATGGAAGAGACTGAAGTTGTGAAGCAATTAGATGCAGAGAGGAGAGCATTTAAAGAAGCTCCCACTGGTCGTCGTGCTGCTTCTCCGCCTATCAATACCAAATCATCTTTCGTTTTCCAGCCTTTGGATGAGTATCCAACATCATCCGGTGGTGGTGGTGGTCCGATGGATGATCCTGATGTGTGGAGGCCTCCTACTCGTGATGTTTCTAGTCGAAGACCCGCGAGGGCTGGTCAAAGTGGTATGAGAAAGTCACCTCAAGATGGGGCTTGGGCTCGTGGCCCAACAACACGGACGTCTCCAGCTACTCGAGGTGGAAGAGGTGGTGCTGCTGGTAAGTCTACTGCAGCTGCTCGCTCTACAACTGCCGGAAAGAAAGGAGCTTCCTCAAAATCTACCAAGGCAGATTCTACGGTAAGCTGCAAATAGTGAGGTTTACTTTCCATTTCATTTAGTCTGCTCGTTACAAAGCTCATGAATTTTGTTACTTTATGAATGTCTAATTTTGTTGCTTTATGAGTGCCTAATGCTGGTTTCCATATTTAGAGACTTTAGATTGCTTTTTTTGATTCGGTAGTTTCCACATACTACTGCTAACATTTGATAAAGCTTGTGGCAATCTTGTTGATAACAGAATGGCGATGGGGAAGATGGGAAGGTAAAAAGAGGATTGTATGAGGGACCTGATGAGGACCTGGCAGCTATGCTTGAAAGGGATGTGTTGGACTCAACTCCAGGTGTCCGTTGGGATGATGTTGCAGGTTTGGCCGAAGCCAAAAGGCTGCTTGAAGAGGCTGTTGTCCTTCCTTTATGGATGCCTGAATACTTTCAGGTACTTTGGTTTTTTGTTTCTTATGCTGTGAAATATGGATTTATATGTTACTATATTTAGACTCTGGAGCAACCATATAAGAAAGAGAATGAAAGTACCAATTTAGCTATTTTGTAATTTATAATATTTCTCTTCCGGTTACAGAGGATTCTTAGTTTGATTGGTTTTTGTTTCCCTCCCTTCAGGGTATTCGAAGGCCGTGGAAAGGAGTTCTCATGTTTGGTCCACCTGGGACAGGTAAAACTCTGTTGGCGAAAGCGGTTGCAACAGAGTGTGGTACCACTTTCTTCAACGTCTCTTCTGCTACATTAGCTTCAAAATGGCGAGGAGAGAGTGAGCGGATGGTCAGATGCCTGTTTGATCTGGCTAGGGCATATGCTCCGAGCACCATTTTCATTGACGAGATCGACTCTCTTTGCAATTCCCGGGGGTAATATTTGTTGACAAAACAGTGAGATTTCACATTTCAGTACGGAATTGGATTGAATGAACGTGTGAATTGTGTGATGCAGGGGTTCTGGAGAACATGAATCATCAAGAAGGGTGAAATCAGAACTTCTCGTTCAAGTAGATGGAGTGAGCAATACAGCGACAAATGAAGACGGTAGTCGCAAAATAGTAATGGTATTAGCAGCTACCAACTTCCCATGGGACATAGATGAAGCTCTCAGGTTTTCAAATTAATCTTCTTTTGTGCTAATGATGATTGTGTTGGTAGTTAAAGTTCTAAGCTATTGACTGCCATGATGATGGTGCAGGAGGAGGCTGGAAAAACGTATATATATCCCACTTCCGGATTTCGAGAGTCGAAAGGCTCTTATCAATATCAACCTGAGAACAGTCGAGGTTAGTTGTCTGATGAATTTATAATCGCAAATCTCTCTGGCTGTGGTGGTTTGATGCAACAATGTAAGCAATGAATGAATCGTTTTAGGTGGCGAGTGATGTGAACATAGAAGATGTGGCTCGGAGGACAGAAGGGTACAGTGGAGACGATCTGACGAACGTGTGCAGGGACGCGTCGATGAACGGGATGAGGCGTAAGATAGCGGGGAAAACGAGGGATGAGATAAAGAACATGTCAAAGGACGACATCTCAAACGATCCAGTGGCAATGTGTGATTTCGAAGAGGCCATTAAGAAAGTGCAACCGAGTGTGTCTTCCTCTGATATCGAGAAACACGAGAAATGGTTCAACGAGTTTGGATCCGCTTAAAACCAACCAACCAACCACTTTTCATTAGTACTCAAATTCAAAAGATCATTTGTGCTTTTTCTTTTCTTTTGTTTGTTTGTTTATATCATTATATTATTTGCCAATTTATCGTATTTAAGTTATGCTCCTAACGGACAAAAAGATTGTATGATATTGTTTTGTATTTTTCCATTTGTTTGGGTTTAGGCTTTTGATAGCAGTGGAGAGACAAGGATTGTTTTAACTTTGTATGATATTATTCATCTTATCGTTGACAAAAACATTCATCAATGTATATAATCATATAATATTATAGTATATGAGACATCCGTTGTTGCTGATGGAAACGTAAAGAGACAAGGCAGCACCGTTTATCATCTCAGACCAGTTTCGAGAGCTTTCCTGCATCTAGTCGTTTTTCATTTACGTGATTGCATACATCATCTGCAAACTTAATATAAATATATAATCTTGAACTATATGTTTTCGTAGAGCCGAAGAAGAACATCTCTGCCCAGTCACACTTTTACACTCCATCCTTTCATCGTTACTTGTTCTCTTGTTCTTTTCTAATCCTCCACTAGTTTTTGTATAAATTTCTATTATATTATACTTATATATCGAAATATCTCATTTCTGATAAATATAATCAAAGAAAGCTAGACAAGATTTTTATCAAAAATAAAAAGTCCATCCTGTTCATCACCATTATATCCTGCTTCGCTCTCCATCCTTCACATTTCTATTAATGAGGAAGCCGAATATTTGTCTAGCTAATTAGTTAACTTAACTAACATTGGGTTTGGCTCATTAATGCTGCGTGTTCAAAAGATTATGAATGGAAGAAGTCCGACATATATTTTCAATACAATTAGTGGTGCTTCAATTCGGAGATAATTGTTAATAACATAAACACCAAATGAGTCCACGGGATATGTAAGATGGGCGTTATGTCAACGTGTACCATTATTAGCCATATCAAAAACGCATTTCAACTCCTTACTGTGTTGTTATTATATATATGCTCGATATTGAATTGACCCAACAAAAAAGGCAAAAAGTTATACGATCTCGATTGTCAAAGTATCATATATGATGCGAATGTGACAATATGGAAATAGAAGTGGAAAGCATGATCATGTGAGGAACACGTGCAGATGAATTGCAATTTGCAAGTGATGATGTGCATGTCACCATGTGTTTATGTAATGGGCTGTTTTCAAAAGTAGTGCAAAAATTGAGGTCAAATGCAAAAGTAGTTCACTCTTTTTTTCTTCCTTGTTTATTCTCACCATATTTGTGATAATAACGAAATGATGAGCTTATTCAAATGGCTTTAGAGGATTATTCGGTTACTAAGATCGGAGCTAAGTATAACTCATGTTCTACGACTTTGTATCTCTAGCAAAGGGAAGGATGAAGACAACATAAATGGACATTTGATAAAGAATTGGATGAAGAGTTGAAGGAAGAATTGAATGAAGATTGGGCGCGGAGGATGTTTGGAAGTTCATGACATATGATCATGCATTACTTTTGTATTAGCCAAAATGTTAAGTGATAGATAACAACAAAAACTTTACAGGGTTAAAGTTATGCATAAGTCAAACTCATGAAAATCATAATAGTAGAGTGGTTTATATCTAACAAATTGTTTATAAATGTAATGGAACAAAAACTCTTTGGATAATATAATAAACTTGTACCAAAACTTGAAACAAGAAATAGTAACAAAAGGCATATATGATTACATCAAAAAATTGACATCGATTTCTGCTTACTAAACCAGCCAAAGAATCCACAAAGTCCAGCCTGAAGTCCATTCTCCTATATCAGCTCACTGTCTCAAGTGACCTCAGCAAAGCACACATCTCTTTGCTGCCTCTTCTACTAAGTTCCTCTTTCTCCTTCTTTTCGTCCAAGTTCTGAGAAAAAATCCCAATATCATGAGGCCAGAACAATGGAGGACAAACAATAAGACATGAAAAAATCTGATACAAGATGGAGAAACAAACCTTGATTCCAAGAGGATTAGTAACACCTCTCAAGAACTCGAGGTGTGCACCATCAAGCCGACTCACTTTCTTCTTCATCAAATCTTCAATTTCGCTGCTGCTTAGACTAACATTATAACATCAGATCATCATGCCATGAATGGGACACAATCTCTTCTTCACCGTTCCTCTCAACTCACTACTTCCCTCTCCATCTACTGGCACAAAACGAGCAATGTGGTGGCCATTCAACCTAAAGCACAACAGTTTAAAACTCAGTAAGAAACCTCTAACAATAAGAAAATTGAGATATATCAAAAACATGAATAGCTAAGACCACAAGAACAAATATTTTCCCCATCATCATCAACAAAAACACATAAGAAAAAATACATAAGAGAAGGATTTCGGAAATAAGTTCTTATGCAGGCTTTGACTAAGTTTTGTCGTAAAAACAAACGTTTACTATTTTCTTAAAACTGAAAAACATGCCGCATATATAAGATCACATACCCATAAACTAAATCCAATCTGCAAAGACACATTAAAAAAAACATGAACATGACCCAGTCTTCTTAAATTTTGAAGATATAAAAAAGGTTTCAGAAACCATGAACATGACGAGTCAATATAATTTTCCTATGAGCATCACAAACCTATGACTTGCTTATTTCTACTGAAACACAATATCAAAGACTGCAACAAAGAGAGTGAAAAATAAAGATCAGAAGCAGCTTAAAAAAGAGAGAAAAATGAAATGCTTAAGAACAGAAGACAAGAAGTAGCTAATTGACTGCAGAGAGGTCAAACAAAGAGAAAAACCAGAAACACAATATATATAAAATAACGAAAACAGCCAAAGCAGTCAAAAAACCCAAATGCAGATTCATCAGGATAAATCCTACTAAAAGAACACAGAACAATACCTTTGAGATTTAACATTCTCGTATCAGAATGAGATGCTACGCACTGCAGAGTCCAAATCCAAGTCAGAGAAGAGTATCACGAAATTGATGGATTCAGCAAATATATGAATAAGAAATCAAACTGAGCAGAATCATCTACCTGAAGAAGGGCGAGTGAGTTGCAACACAGTTCGACTGATCTGTTTCATGAAACCTCTCCCACAATTTCTCTTCTGCTTCAGTCTCTCTCTTTCTTTGGCGCTCAGATCTGCAAAAATAAGCCAATATGATAGGTTTCAGGTCAGTTTTGATTTAGATCTGTTGAGAAGAGAAGATAAATGGCTTACATGTGAAGACGACGCAGGATAGAGACTGGCCGGCAACGACGGCGAAGGATGGTGAAAGCCGGAGAATATCTCTTCGGCGTAGAGGTCCACCGACGGATAGAGAAATTTTTTGGGATGCTTGAGAAGGTGATTCATGGCAAGAGAGGAGGGAGAGGTTCACGGCGAGAGAGAGAGGAGCAAGAGGAAGAGGAAGAAAGAGGCGCCGTGTTTAAGAGAGAGAATAGTTTTCATTTTAACAAAATTAGGGTTTCCAAATTTATTATATATCAAGGTAAATTTTACGGTTTAATTATAAAAAAAATCCGGTTTAGAAGATTTCAAAATGAAATCTATCAATGAAGTATGTGAAAGAAGTCTAATGTCTGATTACAAATTCGTTTGTCTATATTTAAGTTCCCACTAGTTAGCCCAAAATATTTTGTTTCCCGCCCTAAAAATTTCGTTTCCCTCTCATTTTTTTCGTTTTTTTGAATAATAGACTTCAAAGTCTAACAATGAAGTCTACGATGAAGTCTGACTTACCCTAAACCCTAAATCGAATTTTTGAGATCAAAGCTATAGAAAACATCAATTATGTATACATAATCACAATTTACATTATAAACTATGAATTCATTAGCTTTAAATCGTTAAACAAAACAAACATTTTTTTATGTCAAAATTCTCTAAACCCTAACAATCATACTCATAAACCCTATACATTGTACCTCAAACACTAAGCTTGATGATTGGTTTACTCATGAAACTTATAAATTGATTAATTTCCATGAAAATTTATTTTACATAGATAGGATTTGTCTTCATTTAGATTATTTATAATTTTTGAAGCCTAAATATTTTTTATAGATTTTAAACTTTAAATTTAAGATTTTGTTATTTGGTAGACTTCTTCAGTAGACTTCTCACAATATTTTTTGGATTATACCATAATTTGTATTACCGGATTTAAATTGATCAATTTATATGCAAATTTATTTTTCATGGATAGTACTTGTCTTTGTAAAATTATGTGTAAATACCTTGATCAAAATATTTTTAATAGATTTAAACTTTAAATTTACGATTTTGCTATATATTAGACTTCTGGAGTAGACTTCACGCAGTTTATAGGTTACAAACATAATTTCTCTTACTTGAGTTAAATGGATTCATTTTTATGCAATTTTATTTTTCTTGGATGCCAAATGTTCTAATCTTATTTATGTATAATTTTTTTGATCAAAACAATTTCCTATAATTTTATAAATTAAATTTGAGTTGTGTTTAGGAATTAGACTTTATGATGAATAGACTTTAAACAGGGTAAAACAGACATTGTGGCTAGCGTTTTTTTCTTTGTTCATAAGGGCTTGGTTTGTAATTCTACATGCCCAAAGACTAGTTTTGCTCTAAATGCAATATAGGGTCTACTTTTGCATTTCAAATCAAATTGTGAACTTGGCAATTCTCCCTTATATAATTGTGTGTATTATCTACGTGTTTTCCATATATGTACAAGTATGTTTTGTGCTGAAAACATAACCAAAAGAGAAATTATCGTACAAGTGTACAACTTACGTAAGCATCAATAATCGTGCTTCGCTGCCAAAAACCGACAACTACTTGTAACTTATAAGGCTTTCTAGTTGCTCCTATAATAACTGCATCGTTTGAGACAAGCGCATAAATTACAAAACCGAAAGGGTTGTATTGTATTCCAAATGTACCTGACTGAAACTAGAACCTTGGATTATCCAATTTTTTCTTTTTTGCTATCACAACAAACCAAATTTGCTAAAACTTTTTAGTAATTTTCTACAAATTATTTTTAACCCTGTTATTTAGATAGCAAAAAGACTATTTAATCTTTGAATAAGAAATATGCTATGCAACTTTTATTAAAAAGGTGGTATACAGTATACTCTTTATGAAATGGTGTGAATATTATATTTGTGAATAATTAAGGAGCCACGAGAAACAAGATGGCAAAATCTCTCTTTCGAATTTTGTCGTTTTTCTTTTTAGTGAGAGCCAGGTGGGACGTGAAAAGAGAAAATTAAAATACAGATGTTAGTTCTGAAATTTTTAATTTTCTCGAAAGTATATATATATATATATAGCAACTTTTGATTTGTAGAGAATGGACCTGGATCGATGACGCATGCTTGATGTCAGACAATTCCTCTAAGTTTAATTTACAAAGCGACTAGATTGATGTAAATGTCCTTTAGTTGAGGCAGGAGAGACGAGTTTGTTGTTTAGTGTGTGAGAGAGAGAGAGAGAGAGAGGCCAATGGAACCCACATGACATGAATTAGTTAATGATCTCCGAAAGGCCATCTTGTGTCAAAGGGTTCATTTGGTGGACAAACTTTTCATCACTTTACGAATTAATTATTTTGATTGCATTGTCCGGAGAAAAGGAAAAGCAAAGAGCTGGTTTGATATTGAATCTTGAATTATTTTGAGTTGTGTGATAACGAACTGTGGCTATATCAAATAATATTATTAGGATTTAGCTTAAGCTAGTTAAGTTAAACACTTAGAGCTAACAGCTAAGAAACAGAAAATTAATCAAAACATAACAAAATAGTCAGTTAACGTTTTCTACAAAGACCCACACACACACACAAAATCGCAGAAAAATAGTTAAGAAAAGGGGGTTAAATGTGATCAAGTTAGAACCAATAAGAATAGACACTAAAAGGAGTATTTGTCTTTACATATCAAACACTCACTCACTCCACACACTTACTCAACGTACTTATCCTCAGTCTTTACTACTATAAATACCCTCCGACTCCGACTCCTCTTCTCCACCAAACATCATATCATTTACCAAAACGGAAAGAGAAAAAACAAAAAGAGGCTTTTTAAGAAAATATAAAAACCTTTTTTACCATGATGAATTCATCCACGTTAAGCGATGTCTTTAGATCGCATCCCATTCACATCCCATTCTCTAACTTGCCCGACTTCACATCCCTCCGCCACCTCCCAGACTCTTACACGTGGACCCCCAAAGACGACCTCCTCTTCTCCGCCTCTGACTCCGACGAATCCCCACCGCTCATCGACCTCACCGATCCCCACGTGGCAACTCGTCTGGGCCACGCTTGTACAACTTGGGGAGCGTTCCAGATCACCAACCACGGCGTTCCCTCACGACTTCTCGACGACATTGAGTTCCTCTCCCGAAGCCTCTTCCGCCTTCCCGTGCACCGGAAGCTCAAGGCGTCTCGGTCGGAGAATGGCATCTCCGGCTACGGCGTTGCTCGTATTGCTTCTTTCTTTAATAAGCAAATGTGGTCCGAAGGTTTCACTGTTGTTGGCTCTCCACTTGACGATTTCCGTAAACTCTGGCCAAGGCATCACCTCAAATACTGGTATACATTTCTTTCTCCTTGTTTCATTTTCTTTTACGTTTAGACCGTATCTGATAACATAATATTACATTTCGTCGTATTTGTGCATTTCTTTTGTTTCTGAAAAAAAGAACAAGTACTTAATTAACCAAAAAGAAGATCTGTGGACGTTAGTACATGATGACTATTCAATTATTTGTTGTTTTTGTCTTTTATGGATCCGGTAATAATCCTGAAAAGGGAAAAGTAGAAACCGATGGAGTGATGGACCCACCAAAATATTTGCTCTGTCTCAATTCTCAAATATCAGTAAATATTTTGTTATGGTCGGAGATTAATCTGGTCAACAACATGCATGTTATGTACTACTTACTATACTTATATCTAGATTCATACATACTAATTTGATCAACATGGATTCAACAGTGAAATTATTCAAGAGTATGAAGAACATATGCAAAAGTTGGCAGCGAAGCTCATGCGGTTGGCGTTAGGTTCACTGGGAATCGAAGAAAAAGACATTAAATGGGCCGGACCCGGTTCAGATTTTCAAGGTGCCCAAGCAGCTATCCAACTGAACCATTATCCAATATGCCCAGAACCAGACCGAGCCATGGGCCTTCCGGCACATACCGATTCAACCCTCATGACCATACTGTACCAGAACAACGCCGCCGGTCTCCAAGTTTTCCGGGAGGACGTAGGTTGGGTCACCGTGCCACCTGTCCCTGGTTCACTTGTGGTCAACGTCGGTGACTTACTCCACATTTTGACCAACGGAATATTCCCCAGCGTGCTTCACCGAGCTAGGGTTAACCACGTCCGGTCTCGCTTCTCCTTGGCTTACCTGTGGGGTCCACCTTCCGATCTGACGATCTCTCCGCTTCCCAAACTCGTCAATCCCCTGCAATCTCCTCTTTACCCATCTCTCACTTGGAAACAGTACCTTGCAACAAAAGCCACTCATTTCAATCAGTCTCTTTCCTTTATTAGAAACTGTCCGTCTTCAGACCAAATGTTCTGATTTCTATTCTCTACTTTTTGTACATTTTTATCAGAGTAATATGAGTAACCATTTAGACTAGTGGTTGGTTCCTCGTTTTGCACAACACGCGCGAGTCACTTTTATCTGCATATATAGTACCTTAAAAAAGAAATGAAAATTGTTAAATCTTTTTTATACAAAGTGTACACGCTCCAAAGGAATCAAATCTGAGGTTACTAACAAAAACAAATGGTAACTCATACCATGCATCATTCATGAACACACTTTTAGAACATTAGAGCAAAGGCATTGAACAGCCTGGGCACAGTTATTGAGGAAAAAAAGAAAAAGAAAAAAAAGAAAAAATGACATGGCAGAGCTTTTGTGCAGAATCTTCTGTTCCCAGAGAGACTTTGGAGACGGTTCTGAGGACGAGCTGGCCACGTGTCACCACGTAATTCGTCGTCATTTTTTTGTTTTTCTAAAAATCACAAAAAAATTTCGAAATTATTTTTCTTTTATTTTTAAAGAGACCCAAGTCAGGCTGTGCGATGTCTTTGCTCTTAGTATGTGAATCCAATAAATTTGCTAGATTTAATTAGAAACCGGCTTTTCACTAATTTTAGTCAATATAAGTAAGCAATTACATAATGAATTTATAGAAACCAATATTTGCTAATCAAACCACGCACTATTTGCTAATGTTGGAATACGTGGATCCAATCAAATTGCTCAGGATTAACTGGAAATTGGAATTCACAAAATATATCTGAACTTGATTAATGTTTACAAAAGCTAATAATGTACGTGGATATATTCTCAGTGTAGTCACTATATGCTGGTAAAATCCTTTCGGTTTATAGCTCAACAGAAAAGGAAAGAGTTGAAAAGGGATTGCATCTCCTCGTCATATATGCATGTCATAAACTTGCTGTGATCTACACATATTCATACCATATATGTGTGTATATATCCTAAGTATAAGTATATATGCCCCATGAGCATTCCAATCTCATATTCTCGTTTATATCATTAGCCATGCCTTCCTTAAAAGAAGACGTATCCATCGGAAACTTAGGCAGTCTCCAAACACTCCCTGACTCATTCACCTGGAAATTCACAGCTGCCGACTCCGCTCTCCCTCTCTCCTCCTCCGCAGTGGAAGAGTCCATTCCGGTCATCGACCTCTCCGATCCTGACGTCATCACTCTGATAGGAAATGCGTGTAAAACGTGGGGAGCGTTTCAGATATCCAACCACGGGATTCCTCAGAAGCTCCTCAACGATATCGAGTCTCTCTCGAAAACCCTTTTCGATATACCATCGGAGAAGAAGCTCGAGGCGACTTCCTCCGATAAAGGAGTTAGTGGCTATGGGGAACCTCGAATTGCTTCTTTCTTCGAGAGGAAAATGTGGTCCGAAGGGTTCACAATCGCTGATGGCTCTTATCGCGACCATTTCCTTACTCTTTGGCCCCATGATTACACCAAATACTGGTAACGTCCATTATACTCGCACATATATATCGCATAATTCACTAAACTTATATTATTGTTTATGCATGGAAGTTCCATATAGTACTTCTTTAATTCTACATACATATATACAGCTAAGTCTCTATGAAATGTTAGGATAATTTGTTTTCTAACGCTTCACTGTGTCTGTGATACTTGGGGTTTTAAAATAGATTACAAAAATGTAAGGCTTTTCTGTAATTAACGTTTTGTTTCTGGGTGCAGTGGAATAATCGAAGAATTCAAGGGCAAAATGGAAAACTTAGCGAGCAGGCTTCTGTCTTGGATATTGGGCTCGCTTGGTGTCACCGTTGACGACATTGAATGGGCTCAGAAGCTTGAGAACTCTGGGTCAAAAGTGGGCCGAGGCGCCATACGACTAAACCATTACCCGGTTTGTCCAGAGCCAGAACGTGCCATGGGTCTAGCGGCTCACACCGACTCCACTATCCTAACCATTCTGCACCAGAGCAACACGGGAGGGCTACAAGTGTTTAGAGAAGAGACCGGTTGGGTTACGGTAGAACCGGTTCCTGGTGCTCTCGTGGTCAACATCGGCGACCTCTTTCACATTTTGTCGAACGGTAAAATCATGAGTGTGGTTCACCGAGCTAGAGTTAACCAAATCCGGTCAAGAATTTCGATTGCGTACTTGTGGGGTGGTCCAGCTGGTGATGTGGAGATAAGACCAATACCCAAAATAGTTGGTCCGGCTGAATCGGCTCTATACCGGCCAATCACTTGGAATGAATATCTCCGCATAAAATATGAGGTTTTCGACAAGGCATTCGACGCAATTAGGGCCGTTAATCCCACCAATTGAATAAAATTATCGTTATTTATGCGAATTTCGTATTACACAGTGTTGTTGTTGTCTGTTTAAGTCATTAATCATTCATTTTCTCTTTGTTATACATTTTTTCTTTAATATAATAAAACACTTTATTACATTTGCAATTTGATTAAGAGTGTGTGTGTATACACATTGCGGCGGCGATGATGTCACCGTTCAGGGGTTGACACCGCAGTAGATCCGGAGAAGATCTTCGCTGGATTTCTTCATCGAATTGAGGTACGACTCGTAGAAGCGGAGGAGGCCGTCGTGCTCGAAAGGGTTGTAGCGGAGGGGATGTTGGTCATCGACGAGCTCCTCAGGCGTACGGATCGTCCCTTTGTGGAAGGAGAAAAACCCCAAAGAGTATCGAATCTCATCTGCGCTCATCACCACCCTGTGGTAACACGGCTTTATCCTATCGTTACTCCACGCCTTCAACCAACAAAGATCAACCGAGAATTGGATTAATTCGAATCGAATTGGGATCTGAATTGCTTTATTGAGTTTATAGAGAGAGAGGGAGAGAGAGACGTGAGGGGACTCACCGTGAGACCCATGCCGGAGAGAACGACGAATCTGGTTGGCGACGGTTTAAACCCGACCCATTGATCGGTCATGGTTTTCAGCTGGAGACCTGAGACGTGGTTCTGGTGGAGGATACTCATGAAGCTCTTATCAGTATGTGACACAAAACCGGTGTTTGCTTCACCGTCTCGCTGCCTCCGGTAGCTCAGCAACCTCAACAGGTATCGAGTAGACTCGGAATAACTCGCCGAGTGCTTCTTCTCGTCCATCCCGTAACCCTCGTACAGCATCGTCATCACCGTCTGGTCTAGCTCCGCTAGTGCCATTGCGTACATATGTGTGCTTTCACTGCAAAATCAAATAGGTGTTAACAAAGATACAAGTCCAAATGACTTGTCGTTTCTCTTATGAATATGGAAGTTATTTTACCTGAAGGGATCGTTTCCTTGTGGCCAGAGTAGGTTAGAGAAATCTTGGCAAGCTTGGAGCTCAGTGGCATAATCGATCCCCAAACTCTCGTGGATCTGGTAATCGTCGACGACCATGGACATGTAACCATGCGAGGCTTTGTGGTTCTCGTTCTTGATCTTCATGTGGTACGGCAGATCATACATGTCCTTCATGCCGGCGAGTAAATTGGAGCGGAGATCTGAGGAGACGCCGTTGAACTCTGCCACAAACCAACCCTGCTCTTCCATGGCTTTCCGGACGTTGTCTCTGGTCGCAATCCAGTGACTCGTGCCTCGCACCAGTTTATTGCGGGAGAAGTCGAGCACAGGTAAGCATTGCTCTTTATGCGAGTCCATTGGAGTTACAGATCCGAAAGCTTAGTTGATTAGTGTATACAACACTCAGAACATATTTCTATTTATAGATAAATAATTACCAGCATATTTGGTTCATTATGTGTCTAATTCACTTGCATACGATCCTTTATAGAAGAGACAAATACTTGGAGGAGATCCTGTTTTGGATCTTTCATGCGTCATCCTTTATGATTTTGGTTGCTTTCGTTAGTTTAATCAAGTCCTTAACAATTAGAATAATGAAGCACAGAGTCACATAGCAATTAATCCACATTTATTGATTTCACATCTTTGTGCCCATAGGTCTTATAGCAAGGCTTAAAACTAAGCTTCTGAACAGAACTAAATTTTATCGACGAAGAAACTTGGAACGTAATTGAAAAGAATGCTGAAAATGCTACAGACTAAAAAAGCAAAAGGACGGTTGTTTGGAGAGAGATTTGGTATTTTCTCACTCTCGAAATCTTATTTTTGATTCATCATCAATTCATCATTCTCCTTTCCTTTACTTTCCCCTAAAATCTATGTGTTGGTGGGAGCAGATGTCTCTGTAGCAGATTCTCCAAGGGAACCGTTGTTCCCGGTTTCGTCTTGAGACACAACAGGGATCTTGACCGATGAAGCTCTCTCCATTTCCTTCTCAAGCTCCTCTTCCGACCGCAAGCTGTTGAACTGTCCCTCAAGTGACTTAGCTGCAGCTAGCCACGCAGTGACAATAACCAACAAGATCATCCCAAGGTAGGGCGTTGAATTCGCCAGTGAGCCAAAGGATAAGATCATGAACTGCTGGATTAGAGCACCGCCTGATTTCCCCAACGGGTTGCAAACCACGTCAATTGCAGCTTTCCCTTTCACCTGCACATCAAAACCCCAAGAGGCTAAAGCACACACACAACCAACTAAGTTTCTTCAAGCAGAATTAAGCAAACCTTGGTGTCCTCATCCAAGGGGATATAGGCCATTTCTTTGCATGGATCGAACAAGCTGTACTTGGCGCTCTTGCTGAATATGTTCTGCAGGGCTCCCACGTAGACTGCTGCTAGTAGTGGAGTCATTCCAAGCTTGGCCACGAGCGGTGCGAATGGGCCGCCAAACAATATCAGAGAGAAGAAGGCAACGCCGGTCAATAGCAGCACTGTTGGGGTGATCTTTGCAGCTACTCCCCAACCATACTTGTCGAATACGTACTGACTGAGAAGCATCATTGTGAATGTTGCAATACCAGTGCAGGTTGAGAAGTCTCCCATAAATGCTGAGTACTCGTTTGGGCTAGGGAACTGCAGAGAACATATGAAGGAGGAACTTAGAAAGCTAAAAAGAATGAAGATACCACCACAGATGAGAGGAGCTGTACATACCTGAGCTTTAAGCTTTGATTTCCATGTGACTTCCACAAGGTTGATACTGATACCGTAAGCCACCACTAAAGTAGCAAGATCCCTTATGTATGGTGATGAAACCAAGAACTTCAAGCTCTCCATCGTTCCCATCTTTGGTTTGTTCTGTCAAAAGAGTTACAGAGAGAGAACAAATCAGAAGAGTCCTCCTCATGAGAAACTTGTGCAGATCATTTCAGTACCTTCTTCTTCTGGCTACGGGTTGGAAGAGGAACATATCTATTGACCCACCAGTAGAGGAAACAGATGGCGAGTCCCATTCCTACCACAATGCTCATCATGGCTTTCAATGAAACTGCCCATCCGTCTACTCCAGGACCAAGATTCTTTCTCAAGTTGGAGAAGTATTTCACCGTTCTTCCTGAGAATATCAGCGCAACATTGGCTCCAAGTCCAAACAAAGGATAGAATTTCTTGGCTTCATCCACAGTTGTGATCTGCAAAGAGATCGAAACAATGCTATCAAACTCACAAAACGCCGCATGCAATCATATCAGCTAAGATCATCAATCAAACCATGGGCAGAAGAAGCAAGCACAAAAATCCATAGTCAACGCAAGAAGATGACAAAGTTTCCGTTTAAAGAGCAGTTTAATCACCTGATTAGCAAAGCCCCAGAAGAGAACTGAGATCACCACACTGCCCCAAAGCTCAGCCATGACATAGAACAAACAGAAACTCCAAATCCGCAGGATTGCAAGAGGACCCATGAACCTTGGGCCAAGAGTAGCGAGGAGCTTATCAGCAAGAGCTTCCGGATGAATATAGTTGCTGAGAGGGTACATGACGAAACCAAAAGCCCCAAAGTAGACGATGAAAGGGATGATCACAGTGTAAAACAGAGCCTTTTTGGAGAGAACATTGGAGAGTTTGGTGTAGAGAAGCATGAACCCGATGGCCATGGGAAGATTGACCCAAGTCTTCAAGAAAGGTATAATCTCAGCAGAACTTCCTTTCGCCGTCACCACCAAGACGTCCTTTGTGTCCCTCAGGATTGTGTAATTGAAAAGAATACAAAAGAACATTAATCCTAAAGGGATGATCTTTTTCAACGTTGTAACCTCCACGCCGAAGATTTTAGGCGACGGTACAATTGCCGCCGTGTCGCCTTCGTCGAACACAGCACCGTCGCCGGCGGCGGCTGCCTCCGCTTTGCATATGAATTCGGTGCTTCTTTCCTTGTGAGAAGTCGAAATCCCGTGAAGGGTTGGCTCAAAGGTTTGAAATTTATTGTGGCCGGAGGATAGCGACAACCCAGGTAGATTTCTGGGCTTCGATGCGAAAAGTCTATGCTTTAAGCCGTGGGATGGCTGAAGAAAGCTTCTCACTCCGGTGGGTTTGGCGGGTAAGGAAAGGATTCCTCTGGTTTGTATCGCAGCTTCCATCTCACTCTCCCGCAATTACACAGAAAGAAAGAAAGACGGGAGAGAAATGGAGGAGGAGGATGAGATAGAGATATGAAGTAAAGGTGACTGGGTAGTGCGAAGAAAGAATATAGTTTATGCCAATGAGGAATTAACAAATGTGGGAAGATGTATATTGGGAAAGGATGGATTTTTGCACCTGTAAAATGTAATTAAAAAGAGAGGGAAAAATGTTCCTGGAAAATCCTAAATCTCTCACTGTCTTAATGCGCTCGATAAGCTAATCTTTCGGATTAAGCTAAAATAATAGAAATGGGTCTCGGGGAAGATAAATTTGCGGTGGTGTTGTTGAAGGTTGAAACCATGTGAGCTTTTTCATGGTAGCGATTAGCGAAACTAGAAAAAGTCTTGAGGGTGATACTTAAAATTCCTGTTTTGCCCCTCCATTTCGTATTTTTTTCTCTTCCCTATTGGGTGTTTTTGACTTTTGTAGTTGGTGGCTATAACTTTTTTCTTGGAGTATTAATTTACCAAAATTAAAATCACATGTCGGTTAAATATCTTATAAATATATGTATCCAAATTTACAACGGTTTTAAAGTTCTGATGAAGTTTAAAATAGTGTCATCCTTAGTTTAGTTATCAAAACAAATGAAATTAAGTAAGTAACCATTGTGATATATTTTAACAGAACATGTTTGCGTACGAGTGCCACCAATACCTTCCGGTGAAAAGTATATGTGTGGTCAATGGTCAACAAAGTGTATTCCGATTTATTATCAATCTTTATTGGTTGATAATGAATTAGTCATCTACACTCAATTGTTTTGCTCATTTTCAAACGTAAAAGAATTTGCGTCCTCCTCCAAGCTGACCGCTGATTTCTGACGGCGGCCCAAACGTAGGACGTCAAAAACGTAATAAGATGACCAAACTCTATTACATTTTAGTGGAGTATTTTGTCCTTTTCATTTTCGCACAAGTTTTGTTATCATGGCATAATTATATTCCAAGGACCAGTTACACAATATAGATGCGATCCACTGATAAGGTGGTTTTTATAGGTTTTCAAGAGGCGCATCTAGGTGATATGTCGTGCTTGGATAGTGAAAATTAAGAATGATTCGTTTTGGACCAAGCCACCACCATTACCAACTCTATTTGAATGGTCTCGGGCGGCATCTTTCATTCGTTCGCCTTTTATAGTCCGTAATTATTAGTCTCACCAAATATGCGAAGAATATTAGACACGTTTTTTAATGATATAATGATGTATCATGATTCATAATGCAAACAAATGGTCCCTACAAACTAATTAAACAGCTGAAATCTTACAATCAAGAGTATTATTGAACTACTACCTTTTTTTTTGGCGCGTTTTGTTTCTGTTTAAGATATCAAAGGAATAAAAATAATATGTGCTACTGCCAAAATAAATCAGGAAGCCTACATTTAGAAGCAAGTCGATATTTTTGAGGTGAGAAAGGATAAATGAGAGCTGTGGGATGAAAACGACTGCTTCGATTGTCACTGATTCCCAACTTGCCAAAATAAATATCCAAAGGGAAAGGCATTTAACAATTAACATCCCTCCACCACTCCACTTATATTTCTTTTTCCTTTTGTATGTGAAACATCAGAAACAAAATGTGTAAAGTGGGACCGAATCATTTCACGAGATGTTAACGTAAGAAACCTTTTTTAACAACCCAACGGTAATGAGATCTTCCATGTGGTTCTTGAGAGGATGCACTTTTAACGAGAGACACACATCACATTAACATGCATGATAGTATGGTACTGTACTAGTGTGTGTGACAAAAGAAAGAAACGGTGTTTCATGGAGACACGTCACTGCCTTCCTTTACCTGTGGCCTTGACAGCTTTGCTCTTTCCGTCCCAAGATATTTCTCTCTTTTGTCCTTCTTCTTCTTCAATCAAATACACAACTCTTTCGACGGCTCCGTATTCCCCACGCCATTTAAGCAAACTGTCTTTTAAAAAAAAAACAATTTACGCCATTTTATGATTTCGAAAAACACACTGTTTGTTCATGGTTAACAACAATTCGTAGCCAATTCTAAGATTGCTCATTAACCTTCTACTTCAATGAAATTACTGTGTTTACACACACATATAAACTTATGATTCTTCCTTCTTTATGCTCATAACTAAAGAATATTTGGCATAATTTGGTCCAGGATTTGAAATATTTGAATCGGTTATCTTTTCATATGTAACATGGACAACTAATGGCCATATAGTTCGTAAGGCTCATTTTTCACACAAGCACTCACACTGATCCTTTTGGACATTTTGGTTTCCAGGTTGCTGATAATCTTGGTAGTTGCTTACTATAATACACGACGATACCTTTTCATCTCCTACATTTTTGAAAAAGGAACCGATTCAATCAATCCCGGTCACAGAACACAAGCTTACCGGCTTTACGACACAAGCCTTGTTCCCCAACAGAATTCACAACCTTACCATAACTATACACCAACGGCATCATCCCCATGACTCTATGGAACTCCCTAATGCAATTCCCTCTTCTCTTCCTATGTTCCTTTCTTCTACTACTCAGCCCAACTTCTCTTACTCCCTCCTCCATTTCCTTTTCTTCCTCGTTACGCGCATCTCCCCAATCCCTGACTCTCTCTGCTCCCACCATGATTGGCCCTGCTCTCACCTTCTCCGCAGCTACGAAATTCATAAGTATATCCTCGCAGTTACGCATCCTGTCCACAATGTTCCTCATCTCCTCCATCTCCGCACCTCCCTTGCAGCTATACTCGAACAGGTAATCCTGTTTCATCATCATGAACTTCGTCAGCAGGATCGAGTACTTATCCGGATGAACAGTGTATATCCACTCTTTCCCTTGCAAGTCAAATCCGTGCGATCTCACAAACACTCCTACCAGACGATCTTGATTCGACTTCCACACGGAGAACGCGAATTCCAGCGATCTCCGGTCAATCTCAACATCATCATCGCATATCAAAACAGCACGAGTGTCCACAAAGGAGGGACGAGGGAGGAATCTGGCGTTGAGGCTGCTGGTTGATTGCTGAATCAGAGAGATTGAAGCAGCACCAATCGAATACTGAGTCAGATTGTGGTACAACTGGTCAAGCAGTTGAATCGGTGTGGTTGGGTTGCCCCAGAGGACTAGAATGGATGATACGATTGAAGATCCTGAGTAAGAGGCCACGATGGTTTGCAGAAGAGGAATCCGCGATTCGGAGTAACCGTTGATAAGGACGGTGACCTGATCCGATCTGAGCTTCGGAAAATCTCTTGGGTTCGTTGATTCGCACGGATCTGGATCATCTGAGAGCGTGCGGCAAAGCGCGAGACGACGCGTAACAGAGATCACGACGAACAGGAAACAGATGTAGAACTTTTTCCTAGCTACCGTCGCCGATTTTACTCCCATATCAGCCTAGTTTTTACTTGCAAGTTTTTGTTCCGATTAGTTTACCTCGGAAGGAGCAGAATCTGGTGGCATTCCGGCATCGGGAATCCTCGCCGGAGAGGTTTGCACTTCCGATTGACCAGGAGTCTCGGACTATCACTTTCTAATCAAAAGAGACGCACATGACGTTAAAGCTAATAATCCTCGGAAGTGAAGAAGTGGGCTTTTATTTAATTTAAAAGGGCCCTAAAGGAATGTAATTAAGCCCAATGGAATATGAATAATATCAGAGGAAGCCCATACACCTTGGATGAAACTGGGTACGAAAGAGACAGAGAGAGTGGGAGGAGGAAAACAAACAAATTTAACTGACAAAAACGGGTGAGTTAGGTTAGGCTATAAACTCTATGGTGTCTGTCTAGTTGGTTATAGACTTACAGGACACACATTTACAAGTACCCGACAAAACATGTGTGTCATATCACACAATGACAAGCATAAAACAAGTTGGTCTTTTATTTTAAGCAAAGTCATAGGTACACTAGTATTAATAATTGATAAACTAATTTTCAGATTTTAAGAAACAAACATGTAAGTACTGTACTAATCAAGTATTAAGAAGTCATGGGCACGAGTGACAGAATCCTCTGCCTCGGATTCTATTGTAGATTGAAAACAAAAAAAGAAACAAACAAATTAAGATATAGTTTAAACCTTTAGCCGGAAAGAGAGATGGAGAGATCTAGTTGAATGATACTTGAAAGATGGATAAAAATGGCAAAAATTGGGGATGGGAATGGGAATGCATGAAAGTGAGTCAATAATGGTGGGGAAGGGGTTTGTACCTCGGGCTGCTTTAGATGCTGCAGCAGGTATGGCCCACGTGAGCTGCTCCAATTGTGAAAGTTCAGAACAGCTTTAAAAAGGATATACGAGCAAATTAAAGCAAAGCAAAGAAAAAGAAAGCAAACGAGTGGATTTGGGGTTTCGGGACCCATGCACGTGATCTTTGCTCTTTTCACCACAGTTGGTCGTTTCTCGTTTGCCTTTATTCAATCTGTTAGTTATATACATAATACATGCATTTGGTTTTTTTCTCTTTGGGCAACAATATATCATCATCAAACCTTCACAAATCTTAGTCGGATTACACAAATTTTCTTGTTACAATCACAAAGTTTGCTGACCTTTCATTTAATGTCACAACTTAGAACTAGAGATGAGCTATATCATGAGCATTAAGGGATGGTCCCTAATGTTTACTAACCTACTTTAAACACTGATTGGGAAAATAGTAGAAATGCAAGGACTAAAACGCAAATAAGCTGGTCCCCGACAAGAATCTTCAAAACAACACGAAATCCAAGTTTTGAAAGTAAACGGTCACAAAATAAATAAAAAAACAAAACAAAAGAATAAGTAAAAAACAGCCTCGTTCTTCCCGCTATCCGTTGTCTTCTGAAGCCACACTGTTACAAGTACTTCTTTACAGGAGTATTAATAGTCACCTAATTTGTTGTTTACCAAATTTGCAACGCTTTCGAATGTAATTAGAAAGATTGGTCATTTTTCCTTCAAAATTTGTTCGTCCTAAATGGTTTAAAAAAGGCTTGTCATGATTATTTATGAAAGTATATCATTTTAAGAAAATAATCTATCTATCTATAGTTAGTAGAAAAGCATTTTCTAAAATAATATTTCCTCAAATCAAGCAAAGAAAAACTAATCTCCAAACCAGTCGTTTTTTGTTTTTGTTTTTCAAATAATCAATGGTAGACTGATCAAATATAAACTCCTAATTAGTAATTACTGATTGGTCATAGCAGGGTCGTGCTAAGGTTTTAGTTTTTTTTAATTAACAGTAAATATTCGTAAACAAATAATTTAATTCAAATTCTTAGTATGTGATTATTATTGTTAAAAATAATGTATGCTTTAAAAAAGAAACGTTGTAGAAAAATAGGAGGCAGAAGAAAACGGAGGTTTTTGTTTTTCCGGATCATCCAAAAGTTTCCCCCTTTTCTCTCTTCTCCTTCTCTCTCTTCTCTCTCTCTCTCTATCTCGCCGTTCCTGCGATTCTGAAATTCTTAAGCTTTTCATCTTCATTCAGAATCGTAGCGACGGCATTTCCTCGCAATATTTGATTTTTCATTCTCATTTTGAAAGAGCGGTTGCTGTTGCTTTTTTGTTGTTGTTTTGTTTCTTCTCTTCGTTCTCGCCGGCGAGCCGTCGCCGGCAGATGACCAACTCGCCACCCTCGTCGCGAATTCCTCCGAAGTTGGTGGAGTGTTGGTCGTTTCGATTTCTTCTCGCCAGGATAAATTAAGGAAACAAAATATCCGATTCAGATTAATCGAGCATTAGATTTGAATTTAGGAAGAATGATCGTAGAGAAAGCGAGAAGATGCTTAAGGACGCTGTTTTTCCTGGTTGCGATGTTGGCGTCGCTGCTAGTCTCGTCGTTGCCTGTGCTTGTAGCCATCGGCGACGTCTTGGTGCCAACGTTTTTGGTGTCCAGCTTTACTTGTTTGACGTGCTACGGTTTCAAAGAGCATTTGGTTCGATACAGTTTCAAGAGCTCGCTGACTGATATCCCTCTCGTCTCCCTCCTCAGATCTTTCCTCGTCATTTGTACGTTTCCGAATTGCTTTTGTTTTCAAAATTGGGTTTTGTCCACTTACATGAAATCTGAAGCTATTGTTGTATTCATGAACAGGTGTGTATTCACTATCCGACGCCTCCGCACTCTCGCACGGTCACTACCTCGGAAGTGTGTCAATGTGTTCTCTTGTTTCAGTTATTCTTCTATCGGTAAAAGCTTGTGTTTTCACCGCAAATTCTCAACTCAACGAGGAAGCCTCAAGGAAACGAATCCACTTGAAGAAGTCTTGGGGGATGCCTGTTCTGTTCCTCTCATCTGTGGTTTTCGCTCTTGGTCATATGGTTGTTGCTTACAGGACAAGTTGCAGAGCAAGGAGGAAACTCTTGTACCACAGAGTCGACCCTGAAGCTGTGAGTTTGATTTGATTTCACTATTCTTATGCTTTCCCTTTCTTGTATCATGAGATCTCATTGACCGTGTTTGTGTTGCAGGTGCTTTCATGCAAAAGTGTCTTCTCCAGCTACCAGAAAGTCCCACGCTCTCCCATTCCTCTGGTGGGAAAGGCCTCCAAGATTGACGGCGAGGCAAGACGAAAGCTGCTGCCGTCGTCAGCATCCCACGACGAAGGAGAGGTCCCAGTGAGATCGCTTGCTGATCTTGACAGCTTGTTCGTTACAGTCAAAGGGCTCACCGTGCATTACAAGATTTGCACACCTGTCTCCTCAGCTGCATCTCCCGAAGCCAATTCCATGCTCAATATGCCAGAGGCAATGGCGGGAAGGTTGAAGCTTGACAGGAATGTGGTGAGCATGGTGACGAGAAACAAGCTCAACCATCACCCCCACCACAATAGGAGCTATAGCAGTTTGTTTAACGATTCTTCTTCTTCCTTGCACGAACCTCTCTTGGATGGTTCTCCTCTTCTTTTCAAAGATGCTCAGGAAGAAGAGGATGACATGAATGTGTCCAGTATTGGTGCCACGGAGCAGCAAGCTGCGGATGGAAGCGGTCGGTTTGGTGTAGTGCTGGTTCATGGATTCGGAGGAGGAGTGTTTGCTTGGAGACATGTGATGGCTTCTCTCGCCAATCAGCTTGGCTGTGTTGTCACTGCATTTGATAGGCCTGGTTGGGGATTAACCGACAGGCCTCATAAAAAGGATTTGGAAGAAGGAGACTTGCCAAACCCTTACACTCTGGAAAATCAGGTAACTAACTTTTCGTCTTTACACTTTGGAGGAAATGTTGAAAACTCAATAATCATGTGTTGATGTTTACCAATTACCAGGTAGATCTGCTTCTTGCTTTTTGCCAAGAAATGGGATTTGCTTCAGTAGTCTTGGTTGGGCATGATGATGGAGGTTTGCTTGCTCTCAAGGCTGCACAGAGACTGAAAGCATCTAAAGAAGAAGCCATCAAAGTGAAAGGAGTGGTTTTGCTTAATGTAAGCTTGACGAGGGAAGTAGTTCCATCTTTTGCAAGAATACTTCTGCACACGTCACTAGGAAAGAAACACCTTGTTCGCCCGCTCTTACGCACGGAGATAGCTCAGGTGGTGAACCGTCGAGCTTGGTATGATCCTGCCAAGATGACCACAGATGTCTTGAGGCTATACAAGGCACCACTTCATGTGGAAGGCTGGGACGAGGCACTTCACGAGATAGGGAGACTCTCATCCGAAATGGTGCTTCCAACTCAAAATGCATTGTCACTTCTCAAGTCAGTGGAAAACTTGCCAGTGTTAGTCGTTGCCGGAGCAGATGACGCACTTGTTCCCCTCAAGTCGTCCCAAGTCATGGCTTCAAAACTCGTAAACTCTGTAAGTAGTACTCCAAATTAAACACATAACTCTCTCTCATCTTGGTAACTAACATTTAAACATGTCAACAAACAGAGGCTAGTAGCAATCTCAGGATGCGGGCACCTGCCACATGAAGAGTGTCCCAAGGCGCTTCTTGCAGCCATGTCCCCGTTCATAAGCAGACTTGGACTCAGCGAGTGAATGAGTGGTTGAGTGATCACTTCTTGTTGTCTTCATTGCCTCACAATCGATTAGTGTTTGTTTTTTTTTTCTTTTCTTGTCTGCTCCAAAAGGAAAGAAGTTGGGGGTGATTTTGAGGTCTTAGCAGTTATGTCTTATTCATCATAACCGGAGTTATTGTAACCTTTGTCTGTTTTTCTCATCCGGGTTTTGAAGTCTACTATTTATGGCCATCATGAAAGATGAGCCGCTGAATCTTTGTAAATACGCACAGCTTCAATGTATTTGCTGGGTATTTGCTCCTAAACCAAACCAGTAAGAGCAAAAGTAACAATCAAAAGGTATGCACATCACCAAAGTCCAAAGAGCCCAACAGAAACATAAAAAAGTAGAGTAACTAAGCAGACTCTCAAACTAAACGTCAGGAAGGCAAATTAGATACTTTAAGGACTTGTACTCATGAGATGACCTCAACGTTTTATATATTCTTTATCATCACCCCTCAGGTCATCTCACTGCAGTTGTTCATCTAGATGATCGTTTCAAAATTCAAATACCAATGCCGCAGATGAGGAAGAAAATGTAAGCAACTTTGCCAATTAAACTAATGAATCATGTCTTTAATATGAACAACACAACTTTTCAAAAAAAATCCCGTAGGCTACAACTTAGCTAATTTTGCTATATCAACTTAGCACATATATGAACCACAAAACTTTTGCCCATAGGCCACAAACTAGCTAATTTTGCTTTTATCAAGTCATCAACTATAAACCTTTAATGTCGCTATATCATGACTATAAAACCTGTACGGTTGCATCAACCATGCATCTGTAATGTCGCACACAGTGTCAAAGACACCAAGGAATAGGATCAAGAGCATGCTTCTCCATGCTTGCCATTTTTGGTCAAAGTTTGTGATCTTGCTAATAAACCATCAGTTCTTCTGCCTACTTCAAAAAAACAAGACGAAAGCATTAATTTTTTTTTAGTAATTCCGAATAAATTAACGCTTTTCACTGAAGTGTTAAGACTCCCTACCAACCTTTTCCGTGATTTCCTTCTTGACTTCTTGATGAAGATTTCAGTGAGAATCTCCTCAATGTCTACAGTATCATCATCGGCATTCGTTTTCAACAGCTTGCATTCATCCAAAAGCGTGAGTTGATGAACAGCACTTGCGGCAAGAGAAGTATCATCTTGTACCCTTTTTCTTGCATAACCCATTAGCACAAGCCCTGCAAATACACCATTCCTTAAGGTAAAAGAACAATTGTAATTGCTGAAGACTCTCCCAAGTTTAAAGAGAAGAGTACAATACATACCAAGAGCTCGGAGCATCTTGAGATCAAATTTCTCAGCTAGTCCTTCGAGACCACTTATTTTGGCTCGTTGAACGGCTTGCTTCTTTAAGCTGATTAGCAAATCCTGCGAGAGAGATCAAAACGATATTAGTTTAACAATCAAATGACACGATAAGAGCAAAATCTATGGCTTTTTAAAAAATTACCAGTTCAGATTCTGAGAGAGAGCAAAACCAAGTGAGATCTTCCGTCTTATTGTTCTTCAAGATTTCTTTTAGTTCCTCCATCTTAACTTTCTAATTCCTCACTATGTTTCCAAGATTGAGAGATCTTAACTCCTTCAAACAATTATAACCCTCCTTGCTAATAAAGAGAACATCACAATCCTGCAATATCAAATAATCAAAGCTTAGCTGACAAGAGTTAAGTAAGTCCAAACCATACACACTTAGGCTTGGATTGAGTAAAATCGCTCACCTCAACAGAAGAAAGCAGCAGAGGATACACTCACAACCAATATATGATAACTAAGGCCTTAAAAAGAACTCCGGCGAAAACGACGACGCTGGGACAGTTGCCGAAGTGAGTCAGAGACGAAGAAGAAGACTGTGACGGAAGACACAAAGTCAGAATCGCAAAGAGGAAGGAGTCGCAGGACAATAAACCTAATTTGCCTCGTCGGAAAATTAGATGAGTGAAAGGAAGGAGATTTAAATATTTATAAGAATTAGTTTCTATATGTAAGGAATTATCACCGAGGATCCGTGGCGCAATGGTAGCGCGTCTGACTCCAGATCAGAAGGTTGCGTGTTCGATTCACGTCGGGTTCAAAACTCCCGAATCTTGATCCTATCTTTTTTTTTCTATTTCCTTTTCTACCCCTAGAGTATTATCTACAAGCTACACACAAGAGTGTAAGCTTCGCTTTGTAATTACGACAACAGTTATCCTTGCACGTGCTCGCACCTCAAACTATTGTCGCTATATGTTCAAGCAACGTATCATTAATGTTCCCTATCTACTAAAACTCTTTGGACAACAATATCATTCGCGTATTTTGCTGTTGTATTAGGTAATCAATCCACTAAACTAACACCAGAACATAGTTGTTTTAATCAAAACTAAAACTTACGTATCATTTTTACTCATGCGAGGATTAAAACTTACGTATCATTTTTACTCATGCAAGAGGTTGTTTTAATCCTCGCATGAGTAAAAATGATACGTAAGTTTTAGTTTTGATTAAAACAACTATGTTCTGGTGTTAGTTTAGTGGATTGATTACCTAATACAACAGCAAAATACGCGAATGATATTGTTGTCCAAAGAGTTTTAGTAGATAGGGAACATTAATGATACGTTGCTTGAACATATAGCGACAATAGTTGCGAGGATTAAAACAACCTCTTGCATGAGTAAAAATGATACGTAAGTTTTAGTTTTGATTAAAACAACTATGTTCTGGTGTTAGTTTAGTGGATTGATTACCTAATACAACAGCAAAATACGCGAATGATATTGTTGTCCAAAGAGTTTTAGTAGATAGGGAACATTAATGATACGTTGCTTGAACATATAGCGACAATAGTTTGAGGTGCGAGCACGTGCAAGGATAACTGTTGTCGTAATTACAAAGCGAAGCTTACACTCTTGTGTGTAGCTTGTAGATAATACTCTAGGGGTAGAAAAGGAAATAGAAAAAAAAAGATAGGATCAAGATTCGGGAGTTTTGAACCCGACGTGAATCGAACACGCAACCTTCTGATCTGGAGTCAGACGCGCTACCATTGCGCCACGGATCCTCGGTGATAATTCCTTACATATAGAAACTAATTCTTATAAATATTTAAATCTCCTTCCTTTCACTCATCTAATTTTCCGACGAGGCAAATTAGGTTTATTGTCCTGCGACTCCTTCCTCTTTGCGATTCTGACTTTGTGTCTTCCGTCACAGTCTTCTTCTTCGTCTCTGACTCACTTCGGCAACTGTCCCAGCGTCGTCGTTTTCGCCGGAGTTCTTTTTAAGGCCTTAGTTATCATATATTGGTTGTGAGTGTATCCTCTGCTGCTTTCTTCTGTTGAGGTGAGCGATTTTACTCAATCCAAGCCTAAGTGTGTATGGTTTGGACTTACTTAACTCTTGTCAGCTAAGCTTTGATTATTTGATATTGCAGGATTGTGATGTTCTCTTTATTAGCAAGGAGGGTTATAATTGTTTGAAGGAGTTAAGATCTCTCAATCTTGGAAACATAGTGAGGAATTAGAAAGTTAAGATGGAGGAACTGTATATGGTTTACATTTTTTTCTTTGGTATGTTTTTTTCAAATGCGTTTTTCATTATGATATTAATTGGTGTGAAGCTGTAAACCTCAAAGTTAGCAGGTTTTATGACTAATTTGATTGAAGATGTAATATATTTTTCTCGGATTTTGGGATGAGTTTGGATTAGAATAATGTGCAACATGTTTGGGACATTAGGGATATTGATCGAACATGGAAGCTTCCAATGCGGTAAAGTCGGCAGTCGTGCCTGCACCAGAAAACAACCTACCGGCTACCACTTCACGTGTTCATCCCGAATGCAATCAATCATTTATCATTGATTCATTTTGACTTCATCTTTTATATTGTTTTATTCCTCAAACAGCTAGCACACATACATACATATTTCCAGCAATCATTTATGATTGTCAATATTCAATTCCAAAATAAATATCAACATACATACGATTGTTTATTTTAGTGTTGTTGCATAGCGTTTGAATGATCACTCTTTAAAGCAAATCAAATATACATTGATTCGTTTTTTTCCTTCATAATATGATAAAACAATGGGTTTGTGTTTGTCAACAAAATCCTGAAACTGTTTGAAACAATCGAGATCTCTAGTAATACAATCTTTGTTAGTATTTGTTAAAGCAAAGTAGCAAACTAAACAATGCATTGGAGAAACCGAAAACCTAATAATGAAGTTTATGTTTCCTGAGCTAGCTGTCTTTGTCTACGTAGCAACTGACACAATCAAATCCTAGGATGCTTCCAGTGGCATTCTCTTGGTTCCTCTTTCTTCCAAACTCCAACTCATAAAACCCCGGCCCTGTCTTTCTAGTTTCTCCATCCTTACATATTCACCATCTCGCTCTCTCTTCAATCTCCATCATCTCTCACACAAGAAAGTCACAATGTACCAAGAAGTCGCACTTCTCTTAGCTCTCCTCTTCGTCTCTTCCAACATCGTCGTATCTGCCCCAATCCGCGATGGTTAGTAACTCTAAGGCTCATATCTAACATAGTTTCTGTTCAACTTATAAGTTATGTAACTCCCAACTGAATTAATCTTTTCAGGTTTATTACCAAACGGCAATTTCGAGATGGGTCCTAAACCGTCCCAACTAAAAGGATCCATTGTTAAGGCACGAACCGCCGTACCGAGCTGGGAGATAACCGGTTTCGTGGAGTACATCAAAGCTGGTCAGAAACAAGACGACATGGTCCTGGTCGTACCGGAAGGCTCCTCCGCCGTCAGACTAGGCAACGAGGCCTCAATCTCCCAGAAAATCTCTGTCCTGCCAGGCCGTCTATACTCGATCACGTTCAGCGCAGCTCGAACATGCGCTCAGGACGAGCGGCTCAACATCTCCGTCACACACGAGTCCGGTGTCATCCCTATCCAGACCGTGTACGGCAGTGATGGCTGGGACTCATACTCTTGGGCTTTTAAAGCTGGTGGACCCGACATAGAGATTCGGATCCATAACCCGGGTCACGAGGACCACCCGGCTTGTGGACCGTTGATCGACGCTATCGCTATCAAGGCTTTGTTCCCTCCAAGATTCTCTGGATGTAAGTAAACCGGAGAGTAAACCAAAACCAAAACCGATTGAGTTATGTGTAGATGTTGATTTAATTCTTTGGTTTGCAGATAATCTGATAAAGAACGGTAATTTCGAAGAAGGGCCTTACGTGTTTCCCACGGCAAAATGGGGAGTATTGATCCCACCGTTCATGGAGGACGACAACAGTCCGTTGCCCGGTTGGATCATCGAATCTCTCAAGGCTGTTAAGTACGTCGACAAGGCACACTTCTTCGTCCCTGAGGGACAGCGAGCCATCGAGCTAGTCGGAGGCAAAGAGAGCGCCATTTCTCAGATCGTGAGGACCTCGGTTAACAAATTCTATGCCCTCAGTTTCAACGTAGGAGACGCGAGAGACATGTGCGAGGGACCGATGATAGTGGAGGCTTTCGCTGGAGGGAGCAAGATCATGGTGGACTACAAGTCTACGGGGAAAGGCGGGTTTAAACGGGGAAGGCTCGTGTTCAAGGCCGTGTCGGCGAGGACACGTGTCACTTTCTTGAGCACGTTTTACCATACGAAAAGTGATCACTCTGGGTCGATGTGTGGCCCGGTGATCGATGACGTCAGCCTAGTGGAGGTTGGGAAACTCCGAGGATGAGACCGGACTTTTCGTAGCTTTTTCTTTAAAAGTAGGAATGGGTCTTCTACGTACGTACTCATCGGTTAAATCAGGCAATGGTGGTTAATGCAATTTATGTGTCAAGTTTACATAATAAATGTAATTTGTACGCAATTGATTAGCTAATTATCGTTTCGATCGATATGCAAATGGAGTTATCATTTTCAACTATATTTGATTTGTAATTCAGTTTCAAGAGATTTGGTAGATCATGTATACCCGGTGAATGATCGTGAGACTGTCATTGTATAGAGAGTTCCCTCGTCTTTATTTTAGAGGTGTCAAGTGTGTAGTTAAAGTTGATTTGATTATTCTGATTGCTATAAGTTAGTTTTGATTGCGTCTTAACATATCACTTTAGAGCAAGGCAGGAGATATGATGGTTCTGATTCATATAGATACGATGGTTCTTATTTATTCATATATTTATTCATTCATATAGACAAAGCTGAAGAACCTAGCAACTATAGGTGTTGCATATATATATATATATATATATATATATATATTTAGATAATAAGCTATAGGCGGAAATTTTAACATTAGGGGACCTCCTAAACTGACAAGAGAATAAGGTATTGAGAAAACAAAAGTATGAAGAATTTCATAATTTTGATTTCTCAAAACCCAAAAGACACACAATATAAACAAAGTTAGAAGTCGTCATCATCCTCACGGAAGTCCCGGAAACAAGGCCATGGTTCGAATCTGCAAGCTTGGCATGAGACCCCCTCTAAAGCTGGCCACGGCAAATCCACTCCTTACCTGACTCGGACCTGTAAGATTCCGGATCCTGAACTGAATCACCGGGGTCGGGGGAGTGAAAGGAACCCGATGCTGCTGACGCTGCATCCCAAGTGCACTCAAGATCTCATCGTACTCACTCTCTCTCTCCATCCGTTCCCACATTGCCTGCCTCCCCGGGTCCACCCTTGGTGGGGTGAAACCGGTATGCCCGGTTTTCAAATGGTTATCAAGCTGGGTGTAAGTCCCCGAGAAGTCACAGTCCTCGACAGTGCAAGACCTCGGCTTAGCATTCATGAACCTTCTCGCACCCTTGACCTTCATCGTCTCATAAACCTCTCCTCTGCACAAAGGACAGTTCAGAGACTTTGGGGTCAAGCGGTTCTTGCTGTTCTTACGGTACTGCTTGAAACAGTTGGAGTGTCGACCGCTCGTGTCGCACATGTAAGGACGACACCCTTTTGAGGAGGAGGAGCAGTGCAAGAGCACGGCATTGTGCGGCGGCTCCATGCAGATCACACACCGGACTTCCTCCCACTGGCTTGCGCCTTCTGTCTCAATTGGAGACTCCTCAGGTGCTTTCTCTTTCTTGGTCCTTGTCGAGCGTAGCGGGTATGGTGACACTCTCACCCTGTTGCTTGGCACCGACACCACACGTCTTTCCTTTGCCATCCTCTCCTGCTTAATCAGACACAACAGAGCCACCATCGATTATAATTTTATAACACAACACCATGTTAACGACTTAGATCAATATCTTCCACACAACATTGATATTGACTGACACTAGTACAAAACAAATCACAAGTCCAGAGATCTGAAGAAAACGAATGTCTTAAGCAAGAAATCGAATTTTCAATGAATCAAACACAAGACAGTTGGATCAAAATGGAATTGAACTATATACACTAATGACAAATGACTAATCACAGACACAGATTTTTCGATCATCATTTCATTAACGAGGTAACGCCAATCCGCATTTGATTCGGATTCAGATTTTTTGATTTAATGCGGATTACTTCGAATTACTAATCGAAGAGTTGTTCATAGCTATCGACGACCAGAGATTTTTCTGATCAGAAGGCCCACAAAGGCGCTAAACGACACAAGTTCACCAGATCAAGAGCTCAATGGGATCGACTGGTAAAATTGGAATAAACCCATCAAAGGATCGAACAAAAAGCGGGAAAGGTAAGTACCTTTGCCGGAGAAAATCTCAGAGAATATGATAAATACTTATGGAGTTTCTTCTGAAGCGGTGAAGATGAGAAATTTTTATGCGAGTGCCTGTTTGTGTGATTTCTCTATGGCCTTTTATAAGCTCCATCTTTCTCATCTTTACTATTATGCCCTTCTCTTTTGTATCTCCACCATTTTGGCTTTCTTTCCCAAACTAAATCCAATTATATGTCTTTTTCTTGTTATGTTTTGCACAATTATGGATTTTTTCTTCCTTTTTTCTTTCTTTTTTTTTCAAAAAGAGAAAATTTAACAATTCAATGGGATACACTAGCAAAGGAATCACCATTGTCATTGTTTGTAAAGTTGAAAAGGTTAAAGTATATACAAACTAACAAGATTTAAAGAAGAAACTGTACAAAATTCATAAACTCCAGTAATGCGGCGCCGACATTTGTCAAAAATTTGAATTAACACTTTATTTACTTACACTTTTTCATAATTTACTTTTATTTCAGATTATAAGACACTAATATTAGTCAAAATTAATAAGTAACAAATCAATACGCCGCCGATATTAGTCAAAAATGATTACTCATACACATATATTACTTACTTTTAATTCAAATAAAATTAGATACCAACATTAGTAAAAGTTACTAAACAAATTATTAATACTTTTTGTCATTACAAATTTTTGATACTATCACAACTCCTAATTATGACTTTAAACTAAGATAATACGGCACCGACATTTGTCAAAATTAATAAATAACGAGTTCCAGCCATTTGAAATTTTATTAACTAAAATCTCTAGAAAAATATGTTTTTTTTTTTAAGTTTTATTGATCTTGTTTGTAATGGTATTAAATTTCAAATATCATTTACCTAAACTCATTTAAGGTATTAAATTTTTGTATAAAAATCTTTGAGATTCAAACCAAATTTGAGTTTCCTAATGAATTTGGTTGAATGAGATAATAACAAATCATACACATACCATAATGTGCTCAACTTTGACCGTGTTACTTTTGATGTGTTGCCAAAGTTGTGATTTTTATGTATATCCCTTTGTATTCAATGTTTTTTTCCTTACCATTTATCATGTTGCCCCTTCTTTGTAATAGACTAAAAGGGATGAAAAAAGGCAAGATAGATATTGATTTTGGTGTAAATTGGGGAAATTGGGCTCGAAATGTAGAGAAGAATTAGAGTCTGAGAAATAAAAGGCCCATTACGAGACCCAACGTAATTTATCAACCTTTTCATAACGGGTCGCCTAATCGACGGCCCAGATGATCTGAGGACTGAATGGGAACACCGTAGGCTGCGCGTACGATATAACTGTCATTGATTGAAGAACTCTGCGCAAATTTAACACTGTACCTCTTCTTCCCCAGTTTGGCCTCAGAAATCGAGGGAGGGAGAGAGTCAATAAAGAGAAAAATTGAAGAATCTGGGGAAGTAAACGAATCGATTGCGGAACAATGTCTCTGACATGCGTAAACATGTCCGAGGATGTGTGGTTGACTTGCCTGACTCACGCATTGTCCACAGAGACGGAAGAAATCATGGGACTCCTCCTCGGCGACATCGAGGTTCCAACTCTTTAATTTTCGAATCCGGAATGCCCTTTTGCCTCTTGTTTCCCTTTACCAGTCTCGTTTCATTGGATATTTTGAGAATTGGGTCCAAATTACTCTGTGTTTGTTTGTCATTCGTTATTGTGATTAGTACTCGAAAAACGGAAGTGCGACAGCTGTGATATGGGGAGCATCGCCTCAGTCACGGTCTGATCGGCAGAAGGACCGAGTAGAAACCAATCCTGAACAGTTGGCTGCTGCTTCAGCTAAGGCTGATATATCCTTTTCCTTCAAATTAAAAAAAATTGTTGCTAAATCTCTCTTCTTATGTTGTTTTGGTTAAAACTTAGAAACAAAAAAAAAGAGTGTTTTTTTTCCTTGACAAACAATGGCACAGAATGACCATATCAACGGGCAGAACAACAAGGGTGATAGGATGGTACCACTCCCATCCTCATATCACTGTACTTCCTTCCCATGTTGGTATGTATACTATCAAGTTACGACTTTTTTTCTATCTAGCAACTTTTCAGTGAGGGTTGAGTAGCATAGCTATGTCCTGTTTTTGCTGGCAGATGTTCGGACACAAGCAATGTATCAGCTTTTGGATACTGGCTTCATTGGCCTCATCTTTTCTTGTTTCAGTGAAGATGCAAGCAAGGTTAGTCTTGTATCTATAATCATTTTATTGGAAAAAAAAGGAAACTTTGCAAGAAAAGTTCTTCTCACTTGTTGGATGAATTGGATGTATAGGTTGGAAGAATCCAAGTTATCGCGTTCCAGTCCTCTGATGGAAAGCCCAATACTCCTCCTAAACCATTGAGCCTGCGACTTGCAAATAAAGATTCTGTCGTCGATTTAGAATCCTCATTAAGTTCTTCAGACTCGATATTCCAGACTCTTCTGCTCGTGGAGACAATTTTGTCCAAGACACTGCTACAAGTTCTGCATCTAAGGTCTGAATCTCTCTCTCTCTTTTGCAAAAAAACTATACTGTTTCACTCGAGTTTAATGAAAGTTTTCAAATTTTTAATATTCATTGCTAGATATATATATATATACACATTGATGTTTGAGCCTTGTATGTGTGTAAGGGTGGAGGACGAGTTTCAGATTTTGGGGATTTCTTTGTTAACAATGCTGACGCCAACACCATGACGACCGGGAGAGATAGGACAAGTGAAGGCAATCTCAGCAGCTCAGTTGTGGAGATTGATCCAATGGACATGTCTGAAAGCATGCAAGAGGCTATGCTCCGTTCAAATTTGGAAACCAGGTATTTCTCAACATCCGCATTTGGGCTTACGAGACAACATTGCTCCATTCATCTAAAAATGATGTAACGTGCAGCGGTGATGGATATGTTAGAAAAGAAGTCCCTCTCCATGTTTTGCCGACTTCATCCCTTGTTCAGCTCAATTCACCTTTAGCATCTTTTAAGGATCTGCAACGAGTTCTCTACGAGGAGGAACGAGCAGCGTACCACCACTCTCTCCTGCAAAGCACCAGGTTTTCGACTCTCTCAAGTCTTTTTATACATCATAGAGAGTTGGTGCAAAAAGCTCATTATGTTTCTTCTTTAGAGCCGGGAAAGTACATCCCCTTGCCTTCATTCACAACACATCGTCATATCAGGCTTCAATGTGCAAGCTGATTGAATACTGGTTAGTTACAAACATTTGAACACACGAGGTTTTGTCATTTGTTGCGATTTTACATACCTAGGCTTCATTTTCTTTGTTTTTTGGCAGCTTGAGTCCCGCCATTAACGCACTTCAAGATAGGGTAAGGGAAAACAAGATCCGGGTATGATTCTCCTCATAACCACGCTCACTCTGTCATGGATATTGTGTTTCTGTTTGGTTTTGAAACCTATTGTATCGTGTGTTGAGCAGTTAGCAATGCTGATGGATGAAGCCGACGCTCTGGACGCTCAGAAACTTAAAGGAGCAGAGACGAGCGGAGCACCATCTCGTCTGGTTCACGGCTCTGGCAGCCGAAGCAGAAGAGGATCCTCCTAGTGATAGTAAAGGCAATGCCTTGCTCTTTGTGTATTTGTGCTGATTATCAGATATTTGCGTATTTATGCATGTGCACATTTGTAATGAATATGAGATGGTGGGAAAAAGGAACCTTAAATTGCAAAGTCATGATGAAAATGGGTTAGCCACCAAGATTGTTGCATACAGAAAATAACCGAATCTCTGTTGTGTTGTCTAAAAGCAGTAATAGCGAGCTCTTCTACCTCTAACCCCCTATGTTATTGAAGCAGAAGCAGCCTAGTCCTCCTCCTCAGAGAGATTTGGAAAGGGGCTTGGATCTGCAACAGCGGATGATCTTCCTGACGTCGCTTCGTATGGAGAGGAATGCAGAGAGGGAAGCGAGAAAGAGCGTTGGGTAGACACGAACCGAGTTTCTGGCGGCGCTTCTCCAGCCATGAGGAGACGAGTCGAGTAGAAGAATATCTCTGATAAGACCCCAAAAGATCAAAAGCGTTCCAATGAAGGTTAATCTTCTGGGTTTGAAGAGGCTCAGCAAAGCTCCTAGCAGGCATAAACAACTCCCAGCAAACACCTGTGCACCAAATTATTGTATATGAACACTAACCAAATGCAGAGAGCGAGAGAGGAAGAAGGAAGCAAACCTCTAGATGATGGATATCGGTGGATGTGTTGTTGTGGTCGAAACTGTAAAAGCTGAGCAATTTGTGATAGCTGGGGAGTCTGGAGCCGGAGATAAGAGACTTGGCAATGGCACCAGGATAAAGGAGGGTCTTGACAAGCGACGAAGGAATGGCTTCATTTCCGAATCCAATCAGCTGAGAGGAGATGACCTCTAGTGGTGTTTCGCAGCTCTTTTTCCCGCACGCTACTCTGCAAACGGATGAGAGAAAGTGAGAAACAATCCCACAAGAAGAGTTTACAAATTAACACGTTTTTCGCAAAAAACATAACTCAGCGCCTATCTACAAGGAAGGAAGGAATCAACGATTTTGCTCGAATCCTATACAATCCTACAATCCAATTGCTGTCAGCAGTCCAGACCTCGATGCAACCCACATATTCAACAGGAAAAACCCTAATGCCGCAAGCCATTTTGATTGATTTTGCAGACATCAATTTCAGTTTCTTTTGCGGTTTCTCGGCGTTCGTTGAATGAGAAAAAATGGTTTGGAGATGTTACCTGAAAAGCGGAATCTGGAAGACGATGAGGAACGCAAACAGAGAAGAAGCGATTACGGAGATTAACGAAGCCAATTTCTTATTAGAAACAGCCATTGGATGGATATCGATGAAAAATTCAAAGGTTTCGCAGCAGAGGGAAAATTTTGAGAGGAAGATAGAAAAGGCCGATTAATTTGTTTTATTTTATGTTGTTACCCCCACGTCTTTTCTTTTCTTTTCTTTTTTAGCATGAATAAAAACGGCACGTTGTTTTGCATCTCTTATTGAAAACGACAAGTACTCAAGTAGCGGAAGAAGGCTAAGAGAGCAAGAAGCCAATTGAAAAAGCAGGTCAAACCATATGGATTTGCTTCAAAACACTATCTCTGCTCTGGAGAGTTTTTCTCATTGAATACAAAGTTGTTTGTGCTGTTCAATGCAAATGCTTCCGCATTGCCCTGTTTGTTCCTAGTGATGTAATGCAACAGAGAAGTGTAAAGTAACTTTGGAAGAGAAATGAAAATATAACTGTGCTTGTACATGAGTTTTGTATGAGGTTTGATGTTGGTGTCTTACAATTATACAAAGACGTTTGTATGCTTACACATTCTTTCATCACTGATGAGATTGAGAGCCCACCACACAGCTTCTTTTATAAGATGAATCAACCTGTCAGCTCCTCCATTTGTCCCTATTTTCCGAATTCACATTTCAACTTTTAGTAATCAACGTTTTATCTACATACATTTCTGCCAATTTTCAATAAACTATTGCTTGCAGACTTTTAAGCTTCTCATTTAATATATACAAGGCGGAGAAGTTTGTCATTCCAGATACTAACCCGAGCAATGTAGGGTTCGGCATCAGTTCGTTTAAGGAAATGCATAGAGTGACGAGAGAAATTTGTTGTTTTGTCACTCAGCACAATTCCTTCGTCGATGTTCTCCATTACTCTCACCTTGATGTAAGGATCTTTTGGAGGCACCATGTCCTTCAAGTAACAACATTATAAGAAAGAATCCAATGATATATATATCATGAAGGCAGTGTGTTGTAGGAAAAGAAGAGGACTTACGACATTCAGCTCCATTCCTTCTTTGCCCATGTAGGTTTTGATAGCTACTGAATGGTTCTTGAAGTACTCTTTCTCCAGTGTGGTGAGCTTCTCTTGGATTTCAGAAGGAAGGTCGAGAAGCTCAAGCCCTACTCTCCACGCCAAATCACGCACTATCTCTGCTCTATTGTACCTGTATAGAGAGACACACCAATTGCAGTGAGTGAG